TAGTAAGAGAAAAGGCACATAAAGAAATTTAATAATACATTAGGTCCAGCTTTCATAAAACATTTAGTACAATGGAATGGGGTGGAATTTCTTTTAACATGTCCAGCTGTATCTTCTAGGATGCTAGAACAAACCGCCATACTTCAGGGTGTGAAGCATTAAAGCATTTCCACAGCAATCTAGGACAAGTGGGATCATTGGTCTCACCACCTTCCACACGCATCATCTTGCAGCTAATGTAGCGAAATTAAACAATTTGTTTTAAATAAATTGGGATTTACAAACATAGAAAAGAATCCATAACTGGCTTTTGTGGTAAAAGAGAAGATCATTCATCTAAAACCTAAGAGCAGTTAGAGCTATTATAACTAAGCGTGGGTGTGGTGGTTCAGGCTTGTAATCCCAACTCTCAGGATGCTGAGGCAAGCAGGTCATGAGTTTGAGACCTGCCAGGGCTAGATGGCGAATTTAAGGCCACCAGTGCTATATAGTGAGATCCTGTCTCCGTAAAAAAAAATAAATAAATAAATGAAATAAAAATAGAAATAGTAGGAGAGTCATAAAATAGCTAGAAACAAACCTAGCATTTTCAAACCAGTAGCTTTCTTCTGCCAGCAATAACTTACTAGGCAGTAAGGGAATTTACAGCAGTTGCGACTAGTATAAAACATGTAAGTTTGATAAGCTGAGCAAAACTGTGAAAGGTTAACATGAAGAAAAGTATAAGCTGAACTAATAAATGTAAAGCAAAACAAAACAAAACCCCTTGCTACTCCAAACTGTTCATCACTGAGCGGGCCCCTCATGTGGACAGATAGCCCTTGCTACTCCAAACTGTTCATCACTGAGCCGGCCCCTCATGTGGACAGAACTATCTGGCCCTTCCCTCAGCCTAAACCAGCCGTAAACTGTCCCAACACCGCTTCCTCAGGACCTGGAGCTCTTTTACGTAGCTCACTCCCACAACATGGGAAGTGCTTTCGTTTTGCTCTTGCTGTAGTAAACTGATGCTTCTCCCATTATCCATGTGCATTTTGCACTGTTCTTTTTTAAAAACTCTGATCTGTATTTGACAAGCCAACCAGGAGATTTGAGGAGGTCCCCCTGTCCCCCAAACACACTCAGGAGCAACTGACTTCATTCTCTTCGGATTCTGAAGAAACTAGCAGAGCATCTTTTCACTTTTACTACTTCTGGACCGTTATGTCACAAAACTTGTATGACAGTGGAAGTTCCTCCTCTTATCTCCCGTGTCAGCTTAGGCCAAATAATTACCTATCAAGTTTCCTTTTGTAAACTATAACTTACAGAGTTAATATGTAAAGATTCAGGGCTTTTTGTGTATTTTCTCCCTTTTTGCCTTTTGCCTTCTTGCAAATGGCACTAATATCGTTTTGGCTGTACAAAGTCCTTTGGAAGTTTTTTCCCCCTTTACCTTTTGCTTTCTTCTTGTATTAAGATAGATAAGTTTGTTATGTTAGTCATCCGTAGCTCTTAGTCATGTGAAGCTAAATAAAAATGTGTAAAAGGACCTTTTAAAACATTCAAGCCACAATAAAGTTTACATACCTTCCTACCATACTATGTGGACAGATGAAGAAGTAAAAAAGGAACCAGTCAGTAGGAAATGAGGTGCGACTTATTTGAGAAGAAGCTTATCTAAAAAAAACAAAAAAAGATAAAAAGGTTGTATACACAAACAAAGAAATGTTCCGACAATTGAAACAGGCAGGCAAGGGCAAAAACCCGAAGGCTAAAAGCTGTTACAGCAGGTTAGTGTTAGGGTTATACTTAGGTAATCTTGATGGGATAATGATGGGACATAAAGACATTCTCTTGCTAGAAAGGCTACACATGATAAAATAAGGTTTTATCTGAAAGGACTTTTTACCAACAAATAGGTTTTCCTATTGCAAAATGTTTGTGGTGGGGTTTGTGATGGGGTATAATTAACAAAAGACTCAAGGCCTTTTTTTTTTTTAAATCAGTCATGGGGCTTGAATTCTGGGCCTGGGCACTGTCCCTGAGCTCTTCAGCTCAAGGCAAGCACTCTACCACTTGAGTCACAGCACCACTTCTGGTTTTCCTGTGGTTAATTGGAGATAAGAGTTGTACAGACTTTCCTACCCTGGCTGGCTTTGAACTGTGATCCTCAGATCTCAGCCTCCTGAATAGCTAGGATTACAGGTGTGAGCCACCAGCACCCGGCTTGATGCTTTCTTGTTAAACTTATGAAAGGCTCTCTAAACACTTCTCCTGCTGTAGACAAATCTACTTTTGCTGTTATTGTTAAACTTTCCTATCATTTTCACTGTTTCCTATCTTGCCTTAATATCTCAACATACCCAAGGCCTAAGATACAGATAGTTTTGCTGACTTTCCCATAACAATATTATTTGTACTAATGTGGGAAACTGCATATGCAAAATGGATAGGTTGAAAAAGCAATTTGTGATAGATTGGCAATGTAGTCTCATTTAGTTTAAATCACTTATGTGTTCAGAAAACCAAGACATAAGGAAGGGGGCTCAGCATGCAGCTCAGAGATGGAGTGTTTGCCAAACTTGCTGGAAGGGGTTTATTGGAGACGACAAGAGTCCCTCGGCCTTTCCTGCCTGGGCTGGCTTTGAACTGCCATCCTCAGATCTGAGCCTCCTGAGTAGCTAGGATTACAGGTGTAAGCACCAGCGCCCGGCTCAATGATGCATTCTTAAATGATGATTCTTCATTTAAAAATTGGAAAATTCACAAGGGTCAGGAAACTACCATAAAGATCAAGTGACACTGTTACAGTTTGGAACAAAGGGAGGGAAAAACAAGTCCCACAGAGTGAACGTAGCACAAAACATGGATAAACAAATAGGATGGCAGGAGAGTCTCTAGGAAGTAAAAAAGACTTGGCTCTGTTTTTTCAGCCTTCTTTCCTTTGCTGTTTGGCACCAAGGAGGCCATTTTCCTGGGCTCTGGTCCAGTTATATTTTGTCCATTCTTCAGGCAGGTAGGACTGACCTACTTCTTCTGTAGGAAAGGGCTAGAGCAGAACACTGGGAAAGGTTCTATAGAAAGTGTGTGTGGGGGGGGTCAATATTGACAAATAGAATACCAAAATATGTAGGAGGGGCTTGGAGCTACTTGGAGCAATTAGATTTGGGAAGTATTCATTAAAAGGATAGGAGAACAAGGGACATGTCTGTGAGGGTTGTTGTGATAGTTGTTGGGTAGTTCTTTTAGTTCATAGTTTCTACAAGGGAAGTATCATCCATTTAGCCTTGACACTATCCAGTATAAAACCCAGCAGTCTAGAAGCTGGCGCTGAGCAGAACCGTGGCTATTAAGAACTCACCATCCTCTGCCAATACCCTTGGCAAGGAACGTACGGAGGGAGAGTAAGGACCTAGAAGGTCACCCAGAGCATTCATTGTGCAAGCGCCCTATGAGGACCTTCCAGAAAACAAACACACAAGATTTCAGTCTTTATTTCAGTCTTTCTAGAATCCAAGCCAAGGAATTTGTGCTTCAACTAGGGTAGGTTTTTTGTTTTTTGTTTTGCTGGTCCTGGGCCTTGCACTGGGTCCAGTGTTAGCTCAAGGCTAACACTCTTCCTCCTGAGCCACAGCACCACTTCTGGATTTTTCTGTGACTAATTGGATATAAGAGTCTCACAAGCTTTCCTGCTAGGGTTGACTTAAAATAGTGAGCCTCAGATCTCAGCCTCCTGAACAGCTAGGATTACAGGCGTGAGCCACTGGTGGCCGGCGGGGGTAGGTTTTGATGAGACCTAGAGGGTACGTCACACACTGACAGGGAGGAAGGAAGAGGAAATGGGCCGTACACAGCCACGTCGTGTCCTCTCATTTATGCGCTGGACATGAAAGGAATGATTAAAAATAGAAGTGACGATAGAAAGCTCTCAGCCTAAATGTTTTGACCTGTTACTAAGTTCACTTTCTCCAGTAGGACATAGTCAGAAACACAATTAAGCTATAGTTCCAAGGATATTTGAGCATCTCAGGGATGAAGCCTGTCTAATGCTCAAGTAGAAGTTACTCCATTATGGCCTTTCTGATTTGCTAAATGTGTTCTCAAATGTGTCCCTTTCTCACCGTCTCTGCTACCATTATTCACGTGTTCATGCATTGACTGGCTAAGATGAGGAGGGTAGAGTCAAGAGGCACAGGCCAGAACTAGCTCCACAGCATCCAGTCCAGAACTCGTAGCCTCGAGAGGCTGCTCAGCCTTCTATCTGATCTGTCTCTCCTTCAGTCGTTTCGTTGCACGGTTTGGGTCTTTCTTCCAAACTTCATCTAGTTGTTATTTCACTTCTCAGGATCTTTCGGCAACATTCGGAGCCTTTTCTGGCGGCCAGGTCAGTCGCCTCTCCTTGCTCCATCTTGTCTTTCGACTCAGTCCTGCAACTACTGAAGACTGTCTGGTTGCTTTTCACAAATGCAAGCATCTGTCTTGTCTGTGTGCCTGGAAGACCTTTTTGCTATTTTACTGCCTATCTCAAAATGCAACGGAAACAAGCGGGGTCCCTAGGATGTGCTCTGTAACCTTAACCTCCTTTGTGTTAAGTGCTGTTCCCCACACTCTGAAAGCAGGTGAGATTTATTTCCATCTCACAACTTACTACTCTATACCAAGGGTTAATTATAGGTCTTTTCCCACAGTTCACGTGGGAATCAACTTACATGTAAAAACCAGTGAACTCTTCCCAGCATACTGTTGGTGCCCCCCGAATGTGTGTGATAGGAAAGAATGTGAAGATGCATTGTTCCACCCGCAGTTTGTGAAGAGGTGTATATGGGTCTTTTGTTTTGCTTCCTGTGACTTGACTCAAGTCGTATTCAGCCTGCGAGGCTCTCAGAAATAACAGTGAAGATGAATAGGAAACATGGTGAAGATGTTACTTTAAGACTCTTGCCATCCCTCCTCAAGTACCACTATCCACTCTGTTAACCTGGGGTGCATGTGTATTAAAAACTTCTCTGTTGTTCCAGGCCAGCTGTTGCCAGCAAACCGCAATACACCAAGTCCCATTGATCCTGACACCATCCAGGTTCCGGTGGGTTATGAGCCAGACCCAGCAGATCTTGCCCTCTCCAGCATCCCTGGGCAGGAAATGTTTGACCCTCGCAAACGCAAGTTCTCTGAAGAAGAACTGAAGCCACAACCCATGATTAAGAAAGCTCGCAAAGTCTTCATCCCTGATGATCTGAAGGTAAATTGGAACTGGTAATCAGGCTTTGGGCAAATGGAGAGTGGGATGAAGAGGCAAAATAAAGGGTATGTCTGGTCCTGATTTTTTTTTTTTTTTGGCACATCGCTTCCTCTCTGGGTGTCTTGTGAAGTAATGCTTTTGTGCCTTTGATACTGAACAGAAATGAGGAGAATCAATAAGATGTGGGTGTGACATGTTAAGCCCGTGGAGAAAACCAACTTGGCCGCTCTCCTCCAGGTTAGAATCCCTATGGTCTACTGCCTTGGTAGTTAATGCAAATCAGGCTCTTCCAGGATTGGAAAGAGAGAGAAAATCATTTGGGCAAGCCTTCTGGACTTCAAAAGTCCCCCCCCCCAACCCCTACACACCCAGGGCTTCCTTCCTTTCTTGGGATTTTCTGGTAATTCTACAATTTCCCTGAACAGAATAACAGACAGAGATTGAGCCTCTTTCCACCTTGATAACCTTGGATGACAGGATGAGGCATGGTGAATGAAGCTGGTGGAGTCCCTGGCTTATTTCTATGCCACGTTCACTTCATATTGCAAGCAATGACCACTTGAGCTTATTGCTTGGTTGGTGCACTGCTCTAATGGAGGGGGACAGGCATGTAGCTTAAGAAGTCCAACAGAGCTTCAAATTAATCTGACAGTTTCGTGACATCTCAGGGTGAAAATTCTTTCCCGAATCATGCCTCGTCTCCTTAGACCAATGGAGAACTGTTTATGATTAGTTGCATCATGAGGCTTTCTTTTTGGTTATACTTCTTTCCAATCACACAGACAATAGAGATATGATTATAGATATTCAAGGCCTTGGAATTAGGCCTAATTAACTCTTAATGTCTGACCCTCATTTCCCAAACTTAAATGTGGTTCATGTGTAAAGACACTCCTCAGCTGGGAAAAATGGGAGTTTGAGACATTGTATGAATTGATTTAGACCCAATTCCTCCTGATTTCTTTTTTCAATCGAGAAAGAGCCCAAAAGACAGACATCCCTGCCTGGTAGCTCAAATCACCACTGTCACCCACATATCCAGAGAGCACTGAAAGGGGCTTTGCAGTGATGCCTCTTTGAAGTTGAGGAAGTGGACAAGGCGAGAGGGGAACTGAGGTGAACTCTGCTTTTAGAGTAAGGCTGGCTCCCAGGTTGTCTAGCTTCCAGAAAGGTCACTGCAGGATGTTCACTCTGAAAAGGGATCCTACAGAGGCCCTTGGATGACAGGTCAAGAGCTGTCATGTCAAGAATCCAAAAAGGGAAATTACATAGTCAAAAACGTCAGAAAAACCTAAACTACCCACAGCATTGATAATCAGACTGGATGGGCCAAGGTAGATGTGCTGTGAAATCTGGCCCAAGGCAGATTGGGTATCTCCCATGTCCCGTGTTCTTCCTGCTCCGATTCTGTGTGTTTTCCAGAGCCTTGTCTCTTAACTTAAACCGGGAAGCCCTTTAAGCTTGGATTTCCTCTTGATGGAAGGAGAGTTTGAGAGGATGCTGCTGAGTAGTAGGTAGAACCTCCAGCCAGACCTTCACTGACTCTCCAAATATACGTGATCAAAGCAAAGAGTAGGATTACAGAGTAGCTCAGGTAACCTTGGCAACAAGAAAGGCCATGTAAAACCATCTGTGCTGTCCATTTGTGGCCAGGCCTGACCTTTTCATACTGCAGGTAGGGAATGGACAGAAACAAAATCGGCCATCCATCTCTTGGTTTGTTGTTTTGTTTTGTTCACCTCCCCCTTCCCCTTGTAGGAGACAGCCACAATAGTACTTCTAAAGGTCTCATATAGTCACTTGACAAATGCACTCCTCTAGTGTGTGCCAAACCCTCTCTCGGGGTCTAGGAATACCAAAGTAAGCTAATCCCAACACTGTTTGTGGCCTTGTGGAACTCTAGTAGGTCAGGATGAAGGAAGATTGACTTCTTGGAAGTGGGCAGGACTGAATGGGTCCTTGGTGAGGATAACTGGGTATCCAGATGGCATCAGCACCTGGCAGGTAGAGGGGAAGGGGACATAGAATGTAGTGCTGAGTTTTATTTCCCCGATACCCAGACATCTTGGGATAACAAAGGAAGGAGGCAAGCTGGTGTTTCTTGCCTTCTGCATCCATTGTTATACCCCTGTTCTCTGCTCCCCTCCACCTGAAAGGTTTAGTCTCCTTCACTCCTTTGCTAGTTCATCTGTATGTGTGAACAGGTGAGCCAGAAATAAAGCATTTTAGAAACTCTAAGAAAGACACCAAAAAAGCTGATTGTAACGCTGGGCTCAGTGGCCAACTCCTTGAGCTCTAAGACTTGATCAGGATTGTCACATGCCACCAAGTCCAGGGCCTGTGATGGAGCACTGGTTCCCTCCTTCACCATAAGCAGTTTCTACAGTTTCTCAGGGTCTTGTTCTGGTGGGCTCCCTCATCTCCTGGACTCCTGCTCCCCTGTGGGGAGGTTCCTGTCTATCATAAGTCAGCTCCTCTTTGCACTATTCTTGGAAACCACTTCTGGACACACTGCCAAGAATGGTAGGTTTTCTGATATTACAAAGAAGGTAGAATAAGGGAATCACCCCCAAGTAATAAAAACACCTTGCATCTGAAATGGAGGCTTTGCTGTTGTGAATATACCTTTGGGCTCTTTCTCCCTCACCTGTAATGTCATTGGCTCTCCTGGCTTCTCTTAGCCTCTCTCCCTTTCCTTCTAGATTTCCCACTTCCTGTGAAAAACACAGACAAGGGCTGGGAAGTTGGCTCAGTGGTAGAGCACTTGCCTTGCATGCATGAGGCCCTGGGTTCGATTCCTCAGCACCACATAAGCAGAAAAAAAAGCCGGAAGTGGCGCTGTGGCACAAGTGGTAGAGCTCTAGCCTTGAGCTCAAGAGCTGAGGGACAGTGCCCAGGCCCAGAGTTCAGGCCCCACAACCGGACCAAAAGAAAAAAAAAAGAAAAACACAGACAACCAATTCTGCCAGTAACCCTAGCATACCTGTCCAAGATGGTTTACTCAGATATTCTTTAAAGGGTAGCTGCCTTCCTAAGAAGAATTCAGCGATTATGAAGATCAGCTTTTTCATCCTGTAATATATATTATTGTGAAATGTATAGAAGGCTAGTGGTGTTTTATACATAAGATAACAATGTCGGTTTTGGAGCCAAAGCCAGTAAGTCCCTACATACACCTTTCTTCTTGCACCTTGGATATAGAGTACATACCTGATGAAGGTAATAGATAAGTCTAGGTGTGGACCACTGGTTTTGGACTTTCCTTACAGCCTTGGGCCCCATCTGATGCTAACTTCCTTTAGGAATCTGAGGGGAGAAGAAGAGCTGGCATCACCCATTTATTCCAAGTGGCATGTCACCATGCAGGTGTGAACTTTGCTAGGACTGAGGAAATTGTTGTAGCAGGTTGTTGAAAGGAAGTCGCAAAATTCATCGAGTGATACCACCAGTGAATCGTGAAGGACTAAAAGAAGATTCCCCTTCGACTCCCCAGGCAGCTTGCCTCTGCTTTCCGTAGAGGGAACAGTAATGGGGCGGTGAGAGGGAGGATTGCCTTTCAGATTAACTACAGCTAAGTATTAACTGGGGTAGCTGAGAGCAGTTAAATAGGAAATTAAAGTCATTTATTTAAGTGCTAGCCACCAATATGAGTACATTCACTAGTGGCGGGTTAGAGGTATTTTTTTTAATTCAAAGTTCTATTTTCACTATCAGAGTGTACATGGCCATTATATATTTTGATAGTTCAGAAGGGTAGATGTTTCTTTCTTTTGCCTCTGTGTTCCAACCCCTTTCAAGCCCTCCTTTTACAGGCACTATGTTTATAGCTTGGTATTTATATATAAAGTATATATATATAATATATAAGATATATATTTTATATATATAAAATTTGGGGCTTCTTTCTATGGATAAATTATATTACATTTTTTAATCAAATTGGGGTGAAATCATACCTATTTATCAGCAGATTACAATGGTATCCATCTACATAATGGTATTTTATGAACACTTTGTGGTTCCACTGGGTTATTATTATTTTTTTATCAGTTGCAGAATATCTCTTTGTGTTAACTCTGTTATAACGTTGTTATTAAATCTCTTACAGATAATTATTTTTTCCACTTTTTTCTTTTATAACATTTATACAGTAAAACTTACATGCCCATGTCTATGCACATGCATGAAGGTTGTTCTTAGATCAAATCCTGAAAGTGGAATTGATATAGCACTAGCATATTCATTAAGGTAGCTAAGATACATTGACAAAGAGTTCACAGCAAGTCCCTGGCTCCAAGAAGGAAGCCATCGCTTAAGTACCATTCTCTCAGAATGGAGACAGGAGTGAAGAAGGACACAGGAGTTAAGAAACCTGGGTTGGAATCTCAGCACCACCCCAGATGGCTGCCAGCACCCTAGTTACCTTTCGGAGCTGTTGAAATCTAATATCTTGTTTCTTTTCCCTTCTGTAACTAATGAGCAGGATGACAAGTACTGGGCAAGGCGCAGAAAGAACAACATGGCGGCCAAGCGCTCCCGTGATGCCCGGCGGCTGAAGGAGAATCAGATAGCCATCAGGGCCTCGTTCCTGGAGAAGGAGAACTCGGCTCTCCGCCAGGAGGTGGCTGACTTGAGAAAGGAGCTGGGCAAATGCAAGAACATACTCGCCAAGTATGAGGCCAGGCACGGGCCCCTGTAGAGTGGCATTTGGGTTTTATTTGCGGGCTGTCTTTTGAATAGATGGAAAGCTTTGTTTCCTGTCTGGTAGCACCACACCCAAACCAACCTTTCTGACATCAGCACTTTACCAGAGGCATAAACACAACTGACTCACATTTCAGTGTGCATCCATGTGTGTGTATGTGTATGTGTGTGTGTGCATACATGGCTTGTGCTCCCATGTGTGGTCAGTGGTGTGCGTGCGTTGTGTGTATGTGTGTTCCTTTGCACTTGCCATTTTCTAGATGGTCCTCTCATTGTCTTCTAGTTCCAAACAAGAACGGTGCCATGTTTTTACTAGACTTGGGAGACCTCTGATGGGGTTCTCCCTCCCCTTCTCCCCTCCTGCCCTTCTTCTGCCTCTCTTCATGTTCCAGCTAACACACTCTTCCAGGGCTCTGCGTGACTTCACTAAGGAGGGCCCAGGAAAAGCAGTGGAGTTTTTCAAGAGCACAAGCTCTTGTTTCTGTTTAATCTGTGAGTTACCAGTTCTAGTAAGGTACACAAAATACCTGAAGCACTACATTGCAGCTCTATTCATTTATAGGTTGCTTTCCTCATTTTTCCCCCTCCCTTCCAGTTTTGGTGATAATTGTCTTCAAATTTAAAGTGCTGTTTAGGTTCACTAGATCTCATATTTACTTACTGCTATCTACTAAGTTTCCTTTTAATTCTACCAACCCCAGATAAGTAAGAATACTACTATAGAACAGAGTGTGGTTTTGCTGCGTCTGTACCTAAAGCAATAATCCTATTGTACGCTAGAGCATGCTGCCTGAGTACTACTAGTGGACGTAGGATATTTTCCCTACCTAAGAATTGCTGTCTTTTAAAGAAAAAAAAAACAAAAAAAATTAAAGTAATGCATTCGCGCATGACCCAAACATCCTCAGGACAGGGAGACAGAGAGCTCTGGAGGTCTAAGGATGAGGGGTTAGTTTACTAGTATGTGAGCCCCCCCTCAGCAATGCATCTTGGAATAGCCTTTGACTTTGATACGTTTGGTTTTATTGTCTCCCCATACCTACACCCATCCCTTTGCCATTTTTCTAGTTAACTTTTCCTATATCCCTCTATGATATTCAAAACAATTTGAGTACTCAAGATTCATTTAGTTCTCCCATTTTTTGGTAATATATACATTTTTTGTGTGAAATATACTTTGCTTTTTTAAAAAAAATCAGTTAAGTTAAAAAAATGGATGTTTTGTAAGAGACTTTTTCCTCATGGTATCATTTCTGAATGCCTCATAAATTAACAATTCTGGAGCTTATGTTTCTTATTCTCCATTTGCTTTTGAACGTGTGTGCTCTTATGAAGTGGACTTCCGAAAATGAATGTCAAGGACACTGGTGTATCTCAGAAGGGAATGGTGTTGTCACAAACTGTGGTTTTATCCAATCAATTTTAATGTTTACTATAGACCAAAAGGAGAGATTGTTAAATTGTTTAATGTTTATACAGAGTAATTATAGGGGGTTCTTTTTTTGTACAGTATTTTTCAGATATAAATACTGACAATGTATTTTGGAAGACATATATTATATATAGAAAAGAGAAAGGGGAAACTATTCCATGTTTTGAAATTATATAGCAAAGATATATATATATATATATATATTCACCAATGTTATACAGAGAAGAAGCGCTTGGGGGTTTTGAAGTCTTTAATATTTTAAGCCTATTACTGACACATCAGCATGTTTTCTGCTTTAAATTAAAATTTTATGACAATACCGAGGCTTGCTGTGAGGAATCCTGCTCCGACACTTTCTTGTTTCTTATTAGGTCTCAGAAAGGAGTCAGTCAACATCACCCAAAAGCACAAATGGATTTTAGTCAAATATTTATTGGATGATACAGTGTTTTTTTAGGAAAAGCATCTGCCACAAAAATGTTCCCTTCACAATTCTGAGTTCCTGGAGCTCGGCATTGTTGCCGGTACCCCCACAGGATCCTGTTTCCCTCCTCAGGCCCACCAATCTCATGCAGAACAAGATCGACAACGGTGCTGTGTGTGTATGTATGGCTTACGGTTTGATAGCTGTGTTGACTTTAAAGATGTGTGTTCTTTTGTTTCACTAAAGCTGTACGATGTCAACAGATCCTGCTGTGACTACAAAGAAACGCTTTTGTGCTAGATTAAAGTTCCCTTTCGTCAATGGGAGTTTTCTGGTTTCCTGCCTCCGTAGTATTTGAATTCTTCCAGGTGCTGGTGGTATCCTTTCTCAGCCCGTTGGGCTCCACTCTTGTGTCAGCTTTGGGAAAGGAGATTTGGGTAGGAATATCCATCCATTGCTTCCACACCACAGATAATGGCAAGGAAGGAACCGTTCCTTGTTGTTCAGGCGAGTGACTCGCAAAATAAACAAAATATTTGGCAATCTTAATGTAGACTTGAATGAGAGTTCAGTGAAGAGCCACAAGTGATCACAGAGTTGGCCCTTTAAAAAACAACAACAACAACAAATGAAGAGGCTAACTGAAGAACGGTGAAGCAGTAGTATTTCGTAAAGCAGAGACAGATTACATCTATTAAGTAGAGAACTATGGAAGGGATGCATCCCAGGCCATCCAGCTTTATGGGCGTATCAAATTATAGGTGAAAGGAAACTGTATTTGATTACAAGTCTTTCTTGGAATTAGGTTGTTTGTAGACAGTGAACGTCGCAAATGTGTTTTGCAGAACTTAATCATCATAAACTCTTTGGCGTGCCAGGAGAAGTTTCAGAAACCTACCTGTCTTAAAAAAAAATCAAACACTTTGAAGTTGGTGCAGGTACCTTCTGTGTAGATCATTGTACACACACACATACACATACACACACACACACACACACACACATACATACACATACACACACATACACACACACACACATACACACACATACATACACACACACACATACACACACATACATACACACACACACACACACACATACACACATACACACACACACACACACACACACACGGCTGTCTCTGTTCCAGGTAACTTAAGTAGGTAAAAGTTCTGCTCTATGGCATGGGGGAGCCTGTTTAGGCTTGGAGAAACTCTGATCCACATGTGCCTGAAGACTGGAGCTATTCTAAGAGTCCGGTTACCATTTTTCACCTTTCCATCCTAAGCACCTCTCAGAGATTAATTTCTTGGCCATTGAGAATAAATCCCAGCCGAGCACTGCTGGCTTACACCCGTAATCCTAGCTACTCAGGAGGCTGAGATCTGAGGATCACGGTTCAAAGCCAGCCCCAGGCAGAAAAGTCCGTGAGATTTTTATCTCCAATAAACCACTCAGAAAATCAGAATGGCGCTGTGGCTCAAGTGGTAGAGTGCTGGCCTTGAGCTGAAGAGCTGAGGGACAGCGCCCAGGCCCAGAGTTCAAGCCCCAAGACTGACCAAAAAAAAAAGTCCCAGTTGATACTGGGATTTGGAATGAACAGCATAGAACTTCCTGACAAGGCCCTATCACCTTTGCTTTTGATTAGATTTGCAATGAAAAACAAAACTGATGAGACTCTCTTTGTGCCCACTACTTACCTACCATGAGGGCATAGGTAGGAGAAGGAAGGTCCAGCAGTGTGCCCCTGGAGACAGAGGCTGTGTTGGAACATTCCAAACCTCATCTGACAGGACAGTGACAGGCTTTTGTGTTCAAATACAAAAGGCCTCGAGAGTCATCCCCAGAAACAGAAATGGGCCTGTTTGTTCAAAGAGACCAGAATGGATTCCGGCATTGGAGATGTGGGACACTGTACAACAACCCAGGACTCCCTCTTACCCCTCCCTTCTGTGTGGGATTCACAGTAATTCTAAATGTACATGCAAAAGGCTTTAGAAGAGCCAGGGAGAATTTTGAGTGACATCCCCTCTCCCAGTCGCACATTAGACAGACTGTAAAATGAAAACTTAGGCTTTGATTTTCTTAATAGTTCACCTAAATTTCCCCTTACACTTTCTCAGAGTTCATGAGTTGAGATCCCACAGCAATGGCTTGCTTTGACTATGTGTGGCCTCTGAGATTTGGATTAAACTTTGGTGTCAGTTCCCCTGCAAGTGACAGATGGAGTGTTATATGCTGTTAGTCCTGCTGAGGGCTCCTTAGTAATGACCACTGGTGAAGCCAAACTCTCCAGTTGTTGGCTAGAATAAAAGCCACCCATGAATATCATTGAAAGATTCGTAAAACGCCCTCCTAAGTCTTAATGAATTACATTTTGTAACAAATGCAGTGCATTTTACAGGAGGCCAAGTATATACAGTGGTTTTGTGTGTGTGTGTGTGTGTGTGTGTGTATGTGTGTGCGCGCGAGAGAGAGCCAGAGTATTTAAGTCAAGACATAAAACATTTGATTTTTGAGCACCTTACCAACAATAACTAAGTCCTTATCCTTTTGACAAACACCACAAATATGACATCCTGCAAACAGGTACAAGTTAACATAAAGTTAATTCGGTTGGCCACCATGTTATTGGTGATGTTTATGCTGTGAAGTCCAAATCTTTTTCTGTTATTCTTAATTTTTAATAAAACTTGATTTTTCCCCCTTCCTTAAATTTTTTTTTCTTGCAGGGGTGGGAGGGGGTTGGTCATTAGGCTTGAACTCTGGGCCTGAGCTCTTCAACTCAAGGCGAGTGCTCTACCACTTGAGCCACAGTGCCACTTCTGGTTTTCAGGTTGTTGATTGGAGATAACAGTCTCACACATTTTCCTGCCCAGGCTGGCTTTGAACCATGACCCTCAGATCTCTAGGATTTTCCAGGTGTGAGCCACTGGCTTATGTGTATTTTGATGAATGGATTCTGTTCTCACCTCCATAACCAAGTCACCCTTTACAGACCATAATTACAGTTAATAAAACACTAATACTTTTAAAACTACTAATAAATGACTTGTGTGCCAGGCACTGTAATACACACATGGAACCATTTATTGGATCCCAATATCAACCTAATGAGATAGGGAAAATTGCTGCCCTGCTTGCAGAAGTTAAGACAAGCTGAGGTCATCCGAGGTGACATACATAGAAGAGGCATGAATTCTGGTTCATTGAATGGCATCATATACAGAGGTGCTTTCCACAAGCCAGTTCAGAGTCTATATAAATAATTGGGTTGTTTAGGGAACAGCAACAAAAAACAAGCCTGCATATGTAAAGCACAAACAGCCCTCGTGGGTCTAACCATGCACCTAGAGCATGTCAGCAACAACCTAAAGAAGAGGAGGAAAGAAAAACCCCAGCAGATTTCAACAAGGACTTTCTCAAACAGGTCAGTTTTAAAAAAGAGATAAAAGTTGAAGATCTGGCCAGGCACTGGTTGTTCATACCTGTAGTCCTAGCTACTCAGGAGGCTGCGATCTGAGGATCATAGTTCAAAGCCAGCCTGGGCAGGAAAAGTCCATGAGACTCTTATCTCCATTTAACCACCAGAAAACTGGAAGTGGCACTGTGGCTCAAGTGGAAGAAAGCTCACCTTGAGCTAAAGAGCATAGGGACAGTGCCCAGGCCCAGAGTTCAAGCCCCATGACCAAAAAAAAAAAAAAAAAGTTGAAGATCTGTTAATTCCTTTAAATTGTATGCACACTTATCCCTCAAATATGCTTGTACACCAGTAGCTGTGTGACCCCCCTCTCTCCCCAGTTAGATGATTAAGCTGGGTGATTCCCATGTACACTACCCAACGCAAAGTGCCCTAACTCTTATAGAGGGGCTGCATGGGTCAGTGGAGTAGAAAATGGCAGATTATTTTTTTTTTGGTCGGTCATGGGGCTTGAACTCAGGGTCTGGGTACTGTCCCTGTGCTCGTCAGCTCAAGGTGAGCACTCTACCACTTGAGCCACAGCACCACTTCCAAAAATGGCAGATTATTAAGGCTCTTTGCAATCCTTCAAAGCCCTTGAGGTGTCCTGCTTCTGGCCCTTCCTATTGTCTAATTGCTGAGTATCTCTGAAGATCAATACAATACCTGACATTATAATTACCAGCCCCATCCCAAGTGTTTGTTTTTGTTTTTGTTGGTCATGTGGCGTGAACTCTGGGCCTAGGCACTATCTCTCAGCTCTTCAGCTCAAGATTAGTGCTCTACCACTTGAGTCATAGCACCACTTCCAGTTTTCCAGTGGTTAATTGGAGATAAGAGTCTCACAGACTTTCTTGCCTGGGCTGGCTTTGAACCGTGATCTTCAGATCTCAGCCTCCTGAGTAGCAAGGATTATAGGCATGAGTCACCAGTGCCCAGCCCAGCCTAAGTTTATGAGGGCTAGTAAGGGCATCTGCTCCTTACAGCCAAAGGTGCCATGAAATACTTGCTTTTAAATATCCTTTGGTCACAATCCACCAAAGTGCCTTGCAGAGTCCTTCATGCACAGAGAGGGATGTGGGGGGCAGAAAGTCACTGCTAGTTATTTGGTGCATGGTCTCTGAGTTTTTCCTGAGTGACATCTCCTTGTACAAAGCTTATCAAGTGATGCACAGCATTTGGAAGCAGTCAGTGGCCGCCTTCTATGAGTTGGGCTGGAGGACCTAGCATGGAAATAACACACATTTGGGAGCTAAATTAAACCTGGCTGGTTTTTTTTTCTGACATTTTATTTAATAAACATATTTGTTGAGTATTCACCACAGAGAAGCCCTTTTCATCGGTGAGGTTATACTCTATCTTTCTGAATCTGGGAGTCATTTAATGCCATCGTAACATGGTTTGCTATACATAGGTAACACACACAAAGCACTTGGCAGCCTGAACTATTACACATTCAACAGGTCAAATTCTGTTCTCCATATTGCCCAGTCTCCTCTCCCCTTCCTGGACATCACAGATGATAGATAAGAAGCCTTTGGGAGGAAGTAACCCAGAACTAGCTTCCTTTGAAAATCAAATGAATAACACAAGGGGCCTGAGGACACATGATGAAACCATTTAGCACTTTTATCCCTTAGGCTACATTTACTTGCAAGGTTTCTATCTTAAACATATTAGAGGATATGGCCTAAGAAAAGAGTCATTGAGAATCTTTCATCTACTACCATTACCTTAAGATCGAGGAAGGAGATTTCTTTGATTGATTGGTAGAGAGTGGATAGTAAATACTTTAGGTTTGCAAGTGCTAGGCTTAATGCTTGTGCACACCATCAGTCTTGTCCCTTAACTGTCA